CCACGTCCCCATAAGCATGTTTACTCATGGGTTCTGTCCATGTGCCGCTGTAACCATGTGTTGTGTGTGTCATAAAGTATAACCAAAATAGATACTTTAAAGGATGGGGTTTTTAAGTAAATGTAAAGAGAGTTTCTCCCGCAGCACCTCCTGAGTAGACACCTCAACTCTGACAGCACCACTCAGCTCCTGAGTGGAGTCCTCGCCGTCACTGGTCAAGAATCTGGACTTGGGCCCTGGCTGGTTGGCTCAGTTGGTTGGGTGTCACCCTGTGCACCGAGAGGTCGCCAGTTCGATTCCTGGTCGGGGCACATGCCTGAGTTGCAGGCTCGATTCCCANCATCTTGTCCCACGAGGACATTGCCTATGGAGTGGAATTGAATGTAATCGAGAGAGACAGCTATTTACTTGCCCACTGATTTAATAATTATTTATCGAGTACTTGCTTTGTTCTGGGGCTGAAGGTTACCGAGAAGAAATGTTTCGCTCCCAGCTCTCAGGGAGCTTGTGGTCGGTCCGAAGCATCGTAAACAAACAGTAATAAAGCTCGAAGCTCCGGGCATCGTGAAGTACAAGGGGCACTGGGGAAGGCAGACGTGTTATCTTGTGACACACCCAGGATCCCAGAGATCGGGCCTCAGGCTCCCCAGAACAGGCCTCAGAAACTCACCGGGGTGTGTGTCCTGCACGGTGAAACCTTTAAGCCCACGTCCCCATAAGCATGTTTACTCATGGGTTCTGTCCATGTGCCGCTGTAACCATGTGTTGTNTGGGGTGTGTGTCCTGCGCGGTGAAACCTTTAAGCCCACGTCCCCATAAGCATGTTTACTCATCGGTTCTGTCCATGTGCCGCTGTAACCATGTGTTGTGTGTGTCATAAAGTATAACCAAAATAGATACTTTAAAGGATGGGGTTTTTAAGTAAATGTAAAGAGAGTTTCTCCCGCAGCACCTCCTGAGTAGACACCTCAACTCTGACAGCACCACTCAGCTCCTGAGTGGAGTCCTCGCCGTCACTGGTCAAGAATCTGGACTTGGGCCCTGGCTGGTTGGCTCAGTTGGTTGGGTGTCACCCTGTGCACCGAGAGGTCGCCAGTTCGATTCCTGGTCGGGGCACATGCCTGAGTTGCAGGCTCGATTCCCAGTGGAGGGCATGCAGGAGGCAGCTGATCAGTGGTTCTCTCTCATCAATGTTTCTCTCTCTCTCTCCCCCCCCCTTCCCTCTCTTTCACGAAAGTCAATAAAAACATATTCCTTTAAAAAAAGAATCTGGACTTAGTAAATTCATCCAGAGATCCGGGACAGGCCACAGGGACAGCTCCAGCGACACCGTGTGATGATCAGATGTTTCCAGAAGGATGACCGGGAGCCACCATTTGTACAAGATGCAATTTCCCTGCCAATAGGTCCATTCGAGAGACCAAATCAGCTCGGAGTTGCTCAGTGAGCACGCAGTTAGAACAAATGGGATCGGCGTCTGTAGGGACATCCCTTCAAACGAGAATAAGTGATGGAACTGTCCCTCTCCTCTCCGGGGATGTTACTGTCCGAGCAGCCAGCACTGGGCCGCAGATAAATACTGACGTGCTCGGCTTGTTGCTTTCCTCTCTCCAGAATCACTTTAGACAGCGGCCCGCGTGCTACCACCACCTCAGGAAATAAGAATGAACCTCATGAACAAAACAGACTGAGGGACAGAACAGAGCCAGAGGCCTGGACACGAGGAACAGACTGACAGGGGGCAGGGGCGGGAGGGACACTTGGGGTGAAGGAAGGTGAAGGGATTAGCCGGAGGACATACACGCATAACCCGTGTTCACAGACGACAGCGTGGCGAGGGCCAGGGGAGGGAGCGAGGGGCTGGGTGGGGGAGATAAAGGGCGGGGAAGTGGGGGACGTCTGTACTAATATCAACAATAACATAAGTAGATAGATAGATGATTGATAGATAGATGATAGATGATCATAGATAGATGATAGATGATGATAGATGATAGATAGATGATAGATAGATAGATAGATAGATAGATAGATAGATAGATAGATAGATAGATAGATAGATAGATAGATGATAGATGATGATTAGATAGATAGATAGATAGATAGATAGATAGATAGATNAAGGAACAGACTGACAGGGGGCAGGGGCGGGAGGGACACTTGGGGTGAAGGAAGGTGAAGGGATTAGCCGGAGGACGTACACGCATAACCCGTGTTCACAGACAACAGCGTGGCGAGGGCCAGGGGAGGGAGCGAGGGGCTGGGTGGGGGAGATAAAGGGCAGGGAAGTGGGGGACGTCTGTACTAATATCAACAATAACATAAGTAGGTAGATAGATGATTGATAGATAGATGATAGATGATGACAGATGATAGATGATAGATAGATGATAGATGGATAGATGGATAGATGGATAGATGGATAGATGGATAGATGGATAGGTAGATAGATAGATAGATAGATAGATAGATAGATAGATAGATAGATAGATAGATAGATGATAGATAGAATGCACTTGATTGGATTGCAGCTTGAAAATGTTGACTGCGTTCCTGTGCTGGGGATACAGCTGAGGAGGCAGAACTGCCCAGCTTCAGGCTCAGGTGTGGCTGGGGACCTTGGTGCTCCCGGGCTCCTAAGGTGGTTAAAAGTTCTCCCCCAGTTAGGATGAGCTGAACCCCAGGGACGCGGCTTCATTCCCTCCTAGGATCTGACTGGTGAGAGGGGTTGCAGCTGCTGGTTTGATTTAGGTTTATTTCAAGAGGCCTTCATTCTGGGCCAGCCGGTCAAGGTGAGCCTGAACCGCTCTGACCAGATATTAAGCCGGATCTCGAGCCGGGAAGAGAACTCCGACCCCAGAGGATAGCGACTTCAGTAGTAAAATTAAGATTCTTTCTTCCCAGGTGTTAGTCTAACCAATGTCAACTAATATTCTTCTTCCGAAAAGAAAACCTGGTCTAGTTTTGTCCCACTGAAAACTATGACATTGCTATTTTTAAAAAAATATATAGCTTAGCCCTGGTTGGTGTGGCCCAGTGGTTAGAGAGCCCACCCTGGCACCAAAGGGTCACTGGTTTGATTCCCTGTCAAGGGCACGTACCTGGGTTCAGGTCCAATACCTGGCCCTGGTCAGGGCGCACGCAGGAGGCAGCCAATTGATGTCCCTCTCACATGGCTCTTTCTCTCTCTCTCCCCCTCCCTCCCTTCCACTCTCTCTAAAATCAATGGAAAAATATCCTCACATGAGCATTAACAGATAAGTAAATAAAACTAAATAAAAATATATAGCTTAAACCTGCACAGAGATTCCGGGGACACCTTAAATGGTAGACTCCACCACCACCCCTGGTTTTACTTTAATGACACTTACAAACACAGCTCACACTGACTTACTAGTAATACGTTGCCATTTACTTATTTCATTGTCACTATATTCTGCGTCTCTGAGAACAGCAGCAGATAGCATTCATTAAATAAGAGGTGGTTTTAATATCTCATAATTCAGCAGTGTTCTCTATTTAATTTAAAATTGCAGCTTGAGCATAGCCATGCCTACACCACGTTAATTTTATTTAAGAATAGTAGTTGAACTAAATACTGCATCCGTGCATAATTTGCGTAAAAGAAAGAAAAAAACGATATAGTACGTCAAAACTGATAGGCTGAAGGCAGTTGATTCATTGTGCTCTTGGGAGGAAAGATATAGCAGAATTCACTTTGTTTTTTAAAAAGTACATATTTTAGGTGTAAAAAGAAATATTTCCCCAGGCAATGCTGATCTGCAGGCTTCTTATTCAGCGATCTGTGGCTCAAGCAGCGTCCACTGTAGCAGACAGAGAGGAGCCCTGGGGAGCTGCACAAGGCCGAGGAAGTCATGCTGGGCATTTGCTGACTGCACAGAGCAGGGTCACTTCCCCTCGTGGACCAAAGGGAAGGCTGGCGCAGGCGAGCTGGCTCGCGGTGAGCAGCGGGTGCCAGCTGGTTGCCCTCGGCCTCCCTTTCCTGGGGGAGCTGAGCCTAGAAACTTCGTTGAGTTTTGGTTTGCTGACATGGGGCTTGGCTTGAGCGACTCCATCTTGGGCCCAGCCTGGTGACCGTAACTTAGATTTCGTGTTCAAGTTCAAGGCTCCATTCGCCATTTTAAAGCACGCCCGTGTATTTTAGTCTTTCGCTGTGATAGTGAAGATACTCAGAAGTGTGCCTGTCCAAGTGGAGTCTCTCCCTAGGCTGTGAAGTTGAGAGTGAGCCGCGGGTCTCGTGTTCAGTTCTTGGTTCTTCTGCCCTGATGCAATGTGACTCCTCCAGGGCGGTGTTTTTATTTTGCCCTGTGAGCTGCTTTTCTCGTGGGGACACTGGCAACTCTCAGGCAGCGAGTGGGGAGTGGGGGTGGGCACAGTCGTGTCTCCTCCGTGAGCTCAGGGGTAGAGGCTCACTGAGAGCCCATGGGTGGGCTTCGCTCAGCACTCCTCGCCCTCCACAGGTCAGAGTGTCCCCTGCAGTCCCCAGGGAGGGAGAGGCACTCCCCCCGTTGTGTTCCTCCCGCACCCCGTTTCTAGGCGGCTGCTGACAGGCTATTCCAAGGCAAAAGTGGGTGATCAGCAAGGACAGAGCTGGGTTCAGCCCAGGTGCTTCCTGCAGCGACCGAAGCCGCCAGGCCACATGCCCCAGGTCCAAACACCCCGCCCGCCCCACACAGTGACCCAACCCCAGGGGCTTCCCCCCATTCTCTCCTCTATTGGATCTGCCCCTCACAGTCCCTGCAGGACGGCTCTGGGTAGGAACCCCAGCTCTCGATGTTTAATAAAATATTTTATATACACACATAACTTTCGGAAAGTCAGAGGTGTGCTATGGGGCTTTGGGGCACTATTGTTGGGCAGGATGCGCAGAAGCAAGGGCGGTGGCCTTGGAAATTTATTAAAACCCAAGGAAAGGGCCTCCTTTGCGTCCCTGCCACGATCGAGGTGTCAACGAGCCCGTGTGTTTCTCTCTTCCCCAGGGAATTACTGGAATGCGGCCTCTTTCCCAAACCCATCCTCCTACCTGCACTTCTCGACTTTCCAAGGGGAAACCAGCGCGGACATTTCCTTCTACTTCAAGACGCTAGTCCCGCGGGGAGTGTTTCTGGAAAACCTGGGGAACACGGATTTCATCAAACTCGAGCTGAAATGTGAGTATAAGATCATCACCGACTCTCGGGCGGCCACTCCTGCCGCTCGCGCCAGGCTGGTCCTGGCCCTGATCGTGTAATGTCGTTGGAGTGGAGCAGCCAGGGCCCCTTGGCGGCAGGAACGGGCTCAAGGGTAAAAACACAACGTGGAGAGGACCCAGGTGCCTTCCTGGGAGCCCACAGGACGCAGGCCGTCGGAGGGTCCCCAGCGAAGATTCTCAAGGACGGGAGCGAAAATAAATCTCCTTAATACTATGGCAGAAGGGTAGATATTTAAATTAAAATTATAGAGAATGGGAAGGGAGGGAGGGAAGGAGGGATATTTAAGTTCTCTTTTGTGTTTGTTCTCGAAGGAGGCAGGGTGAAGGGTGGCTGGAGACCTACGTGAGGCAACCAGGCATGAGGCACGAGAGAGCGGAGGGGGGGAAGGTAACACAAGGGCATCGGGAACGTAAAACGAAACGTCTGCACACGGTAGTGAAGCGGCGAGGACAGTGCTGGGTAATGAGATGAAACTTGGCACCTGCAGCTGCCGGAAGGGCCCGACCCCTGCACGCCCTCCAGGGGCTCCGCTCAGAACGGATTCGGCCAAGGAAACAGCAACTAGCAGGATCGGGGCACCAGCAGATGCTGCCGCTCGGCTCAGCCGGCCGTGGCTCCCGAGGACCCTCGGGCGCGGCTTGGGGCGCCCCCGTGGGAGGCAGGGCGCCTCTGGCCCTGAGATGCGCAGCCCCCGTCAGACCAGGGCCCTTTCCTCATCGGGGCAGAGGGTGAGCGTCAGGAATCCACGCTCCACGGGCTCCCACGTTTGGTGAATATTTGCAAGCACAGCCTCTGCCGGCTGTTTAGAAAACGACAGAGTGTGACCAGGAGGGGAAGCCAGTCCCCCCGGTCCCTCCACAAAGTCTCAGCAGAAAGTCTCCTCCTCCTAGTCCGTGCCCTTTACCCGAGAGCTTACGCCGCTTGGTCTGGTCCAGAAACACCTGATGCAATATTTTTCTCTCTTTGTATTTTTAAATTGAATTTATTAGGGGGACGTTGATTCACAGGTTTCAAGTGTACAACTCAATAGACCATCATCTGCACACTGCATCGTGTGCCCATCACCCCAAGCAAAGCCTCTTTCCATCCCCATTTCCCCCCCTTTTGCCCACCTCCAGCTACTCCCACCCCCTCGCCCTCTGGCCATCACTGCAGTGTAGTCTGTGTGTTATGTATGTATGTTTGGGGTTAATCCCCCCACCTTCTTGTGTCTAATCCCCCCACCACCCCTCCCCTCTGTCAGCCTGTTCCGTGTGTCCATGCCTCTGTTTCTGTTTTGTTCACTGTTTCTTTTGTTGATTAGAGTCCACATGTGAGTGAAATCGCGTGGTACTTGTGTTCCCGGACTGGCTTACTCCCCGCAGCTTGCTAATCCCCAGGTCCGTCCGTCCCGTCGCAAAGCGTGGTGCACCCTGGTCTTTCAAAGAAGGAATCTCAGAAAAACGTCTCTGCTGAGATCCCGTGGGGTTCCTGTGTGAGACGGGATGGGCGTAGCGGAAAGTGCGCAGACTTGGGGGTCAGCATTTGCAGGGTGAACCCTAATCCTTGGGTAAATCGCTTTATCTCTTTGAGTCCCAATTTCCTAATCTGCGGCATGGGGATGGCAGTTTCTGGCGGTTGTTATGACGACAGGACGTAGATGTTCACCAAGCATTCATTTCGGAGAAGTAGTTGTAATTTATCATCTTTCCAAGGATGCTCGGTGCAGATCTAATCTGGGCCAGGTCTGAGTGAAAGGGAGGCTGAGGATATTACAGCCCTGGAATTAATGAAGTGAAAAAATAGGAATCCTCTCTTTTCATCAATTATGGATTGGAATTATTAAAAGGGGAGTTTTACTTTCCAAAGTTAAGAGTAATTGAATCTAACTATTTTTAGACTTACATGTCAGCTGGGTTGCGTTTCAGAAATATCTCGTGGCAAAAAATAAAAAATGGGCAGTTCCATATTTGAGTCATTTTATAAATTTCCGCACGATTACCTGGACTCACCTGCCCTTGTAGATCCCCATGTTTTGTAAACCCCTGTCTGGGCTGGAAAGAGGGCGCACCTAGTGCGGAGGGAGCCGTGCCTCTCCCTGCCTGTGTTATGTGCCCTTGGGTCACCCCTGACTCCTGGCGCCCCCGTGAGTGACGCCCCCAGCGGCCTGTCCTCGACAGCCCTGCGCACTCCCGCAGACGCGTGGCTGTGCTTCTTTCATGGAGTCAGTGCACCCCGTGTTCCGTCCCCCCTTCCCCGCTGCCTCCCCTCTTTGCCAGCAGTTTTGTCTTTTCCAGAGAACCCGCCTTCTCAAGGTGGTCATTTTTGCCTCCTGCAGAGTTTCAGGCTGAACTGGCTCCAGGACCCTCGTGGTCCTTGGATTCCCGCCGGCCCGCAGCATCCGCAGAGCTCTCCTCCAGCGCCACCAAATTTCAAATGAATCAATTTTTTTTTTTTTTTTATCAACTGTCCAACTTTCTACTTAGCACCTGCCTAATAGAAATAGCACTTATTTCTGATTATGAAAAATCTTCAGCAGTGTTCTAAAGTTTTCCCTGTCCTTCCACCGTAGGAAAACTCCGTGGCAGAGGTTAAGTCACAGCCTCATTTTCTCACATAGCAGTTTCTGTCACGCAGTTTACTTTTGGCAAAGAAGCGTGTGTCGTTCAAGGCACCCCTGAGGGGCTGGCCTCTCTCCTCGGAGTCCTCTGAACCCTCGAATAATTGCTAGGGGTGCAAATACTTTTTTAAGATACCCCCGATGGCAGAGAGGTAAAACGCCCATCAGTGTGTGGCATCTCTGCTGAGGTTCAGAGGAACCTGTGGGGGGAAAGGCAGGTTTCTGTATTTGAGAAGAACCTTCAAAGCAAACCAGAGGCGACACTTTCATGAACAACACGGAGGATGAAGGTTATGACAGGCTCGCTGGGGTCCCGAGTGTCACCGCCTCCGTCACTGTCCTCTGCAGGTCTCCCGGGCAGTGCGGGGAGATGGGGACCCCTCGGGCCCGTCTCTGCTGACATCGTTGGCACGGCAACCGCTGGCTACTCGGGAAGGATGGCTCCTGAAGTCCAGTTTTTTAAACTGTCTCGACTTTTTGTTTCCCTTTGACTCGGTAGGCTTTCTAAGGTCTTTCTGTTGGCATTCAAATTGTGTTTCTCTGTGCGAGTCTCAAAGGACTGTCTTCACAGTTCACGCCTGCATGAGTTTCCAGAATAGCATTCTGTTAATTAACTACATGGCGCCCTCCTGTCAGCAGTGGAAGATTCTTTTTTTTTTTTTTTTTTTTTTTTTGTAANCTCAAAGGACTGTCTTCACAGTTCACGCCTGCATGAGTTTCCAGAATAGCATTCTGTTAATTAACTACATGGCGCCCTCCTGTCAGCAGTGGAAGATTTTTTTTTTTTTTTTTTTTTTGGTAATCCTCATCTGAGGATATGTTTTTATTGATTTTGGGGGGAGAGAGGGGAAAGAGAGAGAGAAACATTGATATGAGAGAGAAACATTGATCAGTAGCCTCCCGTATGTACCCCAACCAGGGATCAAACCCACAACCTAGGTATGTGCCCTGACGGGACTTGAACCTGAGACCCTCCCATCCTCGGGCCGACACTCTAACCACCAAGCCCAACTGGCCAGGACTCCAGCAGCTTTTAATTTAAACCTTTTTAATTTCAATTATGGGCAAAAAAGTTTAGAGATGTAAATTAAAGACGATACGTGTGCTGTGTTACAGCTGTTCACTATATCAACTGTCTGTCTTTTATTAAGTGTTAAAAGACACATAAGTAATTGGTAAATAACAAGGTCACATTGAACTTGCCCAGATTTCTTTGTCAGTCTTACTGAAGGGGCAGTTATTCGAGTCGATGGCGTAGGCACCCTGGAGTTACAAGGAGGCCGTCCTCCGATGGGAAAACTTGCCCAGGTTCCCGTAGATGCTGCTGACCCACCCGTGTTTGCTGATTTGGACATTTCTGGAAGCAGCTGGGACCTCCTCTCATGCTGGCCAGACGGAGCCGCCTCTCTGCGGAGCGGTGGGCCTGCTCTCTCTACACCCCAGGGCACCTTTGCAAGACCACCCCCTACTAAAATCCTGCCCACGCAAAGATTTTTTTGACTGCAGCTTGATTTATAAAACATGTGAGACAGGAGTAGCCCTGGCTGGTGTGGCTCAGTTGGCTGGAGCATCACCCCGTGCACTGGAGGTCGTGGGTTCAGTTCCTGGGCAGGGCACATACTTGGGTCGGGGGTTCAATCGCTGGTGGGGGCCCATACAAGAGGCGACCAACCGATGTCTCTCTCACATCAGTGTTTCTCTCTTTCTCCCTCCCTCTCTTTAAAAAAAAAATTTAAAAAAAAAAGGCAAGTCTTTCCTCTTCCTAAAAACAACAAAATTTCTACAAGGCAATTAATTCAGTGCAGTGCCTGGAAAATAGCAGGCATCCTCCTTAAAGGGTGTCTCCACACGGTCTGAAGGCTGTGTATGTTGTGTGTCATTACCATAGAGAAACGCTAAATTTTGAAAGTTGTTTTTTCTGATTTTTCTCATTTTTTCTAATTCTAATGTTTTATGCATTACTTATTGTATGGAGTAGGCCACAGAGTCTTTGTCTTAGAAAAGGTGACATGTTAAAGTGTCAGAAAGACCAGCCACTGGAATCGGCCTGCCCCTGGCCAGCTGGAAGACAGCGGGTGTTCCGCGGGGGAGGAGATTAAAGGAGCTTGAATTCATAATTCAGAGCTGAGACAGGGAAGGGAGAAAGTGTCCTGTTATGACTCAGGAATAAACACGTGGATTCGTGGGAACAGCAGAGGAAATATGTATGTGGAGTTATAATGAGGTTAGGGACCCTGCACCTGTCGTTCTAGAAGCTAATGGCGTCTCTACAGGCTCAGTGTTTTTATAAAAACAAGTGATTCAAGAGGGAAGCGTCAGTGCCATCATTACTCGGTGGATGTTACTAATGCTGGGTGAC